TTGAGGAGGGCATCACAGGATTGAGGAGGGCATCACAGGATTGAGGATTCTTGGGTTGGTTATCAGAAGATGCTAGTTGCCTATGGATCAGTATAACAGAATTATTCAGCACTTTCAGTGGCTAAAGGGGAAGTCATAACAAGGATCAAGAGCAAAACAAGGAAAAAGAATGCAGGGCAAGTAAAATGGAATGCAGAAAGTTACAAAAGGGCAAACAACACTTGGCACTATTAATTCTAAAGAAATGGCAGTTAGGCAAAAGGTTTGAAAGACTAGGTTCAAAACTAGTGAAGTTGAAATGTGAGATAACAAGGTGTAGAGCTGGATGAACACAGCAGGCCAAGCAGCATCAGAGGAGCAGGAAGGCTGACATTTCGGGCCTAGACCCTTCTTCAGAAAAGTTGAAATGTGGTTTTCTTTTGAAACACTGAACCTGAATACTTTTACGTAACAATCAATAATAACCCTAGTCACATCAACATACCACCAACAGTATCAATCCTCATTATCCTAAACCAGAACTGCAAACATCAGTTCAGTCTGTGTTTGCTACTACACTCACCATATCCGGTGTTGTGCCAATTTTCTTGGCCAGCTCGCTGCGTTCCATGGTGCTGAGGTACAAAAACTTATTGAGCAGCTCCCCGTCCAGAATGTTCCGCACTGCATTTTGCAGAGCTCGTCGATCACAGCGCAACATCCTGCAGTACCAAAGTGGAAGGGGCAAAATATAATCACGTGTAGTACTGTGGATAGCATTCTCAAAATCAAACATCATGCGTTCAAGTCTCATTCCAGAAACTTGTGCACATAAACTAGGTGGGCACTTCAGATCCATACTCCCTGTTCCAAGGCAGGTTTAAACCTCTGGATGGTTTATCCAGGTCATTACATAGCCCACCACCGCAAACAGAAAACAGTTGGAGCTGCCTATTCTTTCATTCTGGCAAGCAATTTTACCCATCAACAAGTGGCTTGCTTGACCATTACAGTTGCCAGTTCAGAGCTAATTTAATGATTGTGGGTCTGGAGTCACATGTAGGTGACGGCAGACCAGGTAAGGACAGAACACGCCTGCCCTACAGGATATTAGTGATTTAGTGGAATTTTTAAAAATAATAAATCACTGAAAATTTCAGTGATTACCTTTTACTAATTAGCTTTCGATTCCCGATTTTATAATTGAATTTAGATTCCTCCATATGATGCAGCAGGATTTGAATCTGTGTCTCCAGGGCATTGACCTGGATTCTGGATTATTAGACCTAAAATGCAACTAGAAGTTAAAAGTGATTGCACTTCAGAAGTACTTTGATAGGTTCCAAAGATGTGAAAGGCTGTATAGAAATGCAGATTCTTTCTGCATTTCCTTTACCTTTTGTAACATGCCATTATCTCTTGATGTTCTAATAGCTTACCACGAAGAACTGTTTGGATGATGTCAGGGAGCTAATTTGAACTCAATATCAAAGCTTCACATTTTAATTCGACAATGTTGGATACTGTACAGGTTCCACAAGGTTCCATAGTGTGTGTTTAGGAAGGATGAACAAAGCAGCATGGTGACTCAGTGGTTAGCGCTGCTGCCTCAGTGCCAGGGACTCAGGTTCAATTCCAGCCTTGGGTGACTGTCCGTGTGGAGTTTGCACATTCTCCCCATGTCCGCGTGGGTTTCCTCCAGGTGCTCTGGTTTCCTCCCACAGCCCAAAGATGTGCAGGTTAGGTGGATTAGCTGTGGGAAATACAGGGTTACAGGGATAGGGTACAGGGGTGAGTCTGGGTGTGATGCTCTTTGCAGAGTCCGTGTGGACTTGTTGGGCCGAATGACCTGTTTCCACACTGTAGGGATTCTATGATTCTAGCTCAACAAATAGATATGTTTTGAATCCGATTCAGAGTGGTCATAAGGCTGATTGAGGCAATGGGGATATGGGGCAGGGTATCAACAGCACACATGGAAGCTAGTCTCATACCTGCAGTTAATATCCACCAAGAAACAGTACACACAGGAGGTGTAGATGGGTTGAAGGATAGACTTCCGAAGATGGCTGATAAAAGGAAATGAGCGACCTACTATGGGTGAATGTAGACAACTTTATATTGATCTGTACTATCCAGTTATTGATTCATGCTAAGGTTGGCAAAATAGCTCAGTACAGAAGTCAGAATTTGCACTCCTGGATAAGACAGAAGCCAACAGAATTATGTTTTTAAAAAGATTTGCTGTTCCATAACACTGATAATTTCAGGCATCTCAAAGCCATCTACAGCCAATAAAACACTCAAAAGTGTGATTGCCGTTAACAACTAATGAAACGTAGCATTAATTTGTGCACAGCAAACTCCTACAGCAACAATGTAACAATAACCCAATCATTTTTAAAGTGAGGCTAAGACATAGTCGGTCAGGACAGTTATTAGTGGTTGGGATTCCAGAGGGGAATGCAAGCAAGCAGGAGATATCAAGTTAATAAAATTTTTTTAAAAAACCAAAATATTTGTTGAAGAACTATAGCTGGTTTGGAGTCAACATGTCTGTGTTTCAGTTGCTAATCTTTATTAAAGTGTGATGTTTATGACCATATAAAAATTAACAAAAACCAACCACTTCAGTGTGAATGGAACGTACATGGTGGAATATCACCATCTACCGGTGAAGTTCAGAATCAATAGGTTCACTTCTCATAATTTTTCAGAAGTTACTGAAAACTCACTGGGATTGGCGTATAGATGCCAATGGATATACTACCACAATAAAGGTGGAAATGTGTAACTTATTGTACTTTGGCATTAATAAAATCAACAAATTAATTATATTGTTTTCAAATTGATGTAGTTTCATTTTCTTGCATGATCTAAAGTTTATAATTCTGATTCATATCAAGGATAAAACTCAGATAGTAGGAACTGCCGATGCTGGAGTCTGAGATAACAAGGTGTAGAGCTGGATGAACACAGCAGGCCAGGCAGCATCAGAGGAGCAGGAAAGCTGACATTTCTGGTTTGGACCCTTCTTCAGAAATGGGGGAGGGGAAGGGGACTCTGAAATAAATAGAGAAAGGGGGAGGCGGTGATGGAAGATGGATAAAGGGGCAGATAGGTGGACAGAAGACGGACAGGTCAAGGAGGTGGGGATGGAGCCAGTAAAGGTGAGTGTAGGTACAGAGTTGGTCAGTTGGGAGGGAGGGGCGGGTAGATGGACAGGTTAAGGAGGCGGGGATGAGACTCGTAGGTAGGAAGTGGGGGTGGGGGTTGGTCAGTGAGGTGGGAGGAGTGGATAGGTGGGAGGAAAGATGGACAGGTCAAGAAGGCGGGGATGAGTTGAGCTGATCTTGGGATGAGGTCAGGGGTGGGGAGATTTTGAAGCTTGTGAAGTCCACATCGAGACCATTGGGCTGCTGGGTTCCCAAGCGAAATAGGAGGTGCTGTTCCTCCAGCCTTCGGGTGGTATCGTTGTGGCACTGGAGGAGGCCCAGGATGGACGTGTCGTCCAAGGATTGGGAGGGGGAGTTAAAGTGGTTCACAACCGGGAGGTGCAGTCGTTTGTCACGAACTGAGCGTAGGTGTTCCACAAAGTCTCCGCTTGGTTTCCCCGATGTAGAGGAGGCCACATCGGGAACAGCGGATACAATACACCAAATTAGCAGGTGAACATCTGTTTAATGTGGAAGGTTTTCTTAGGGCCTGGGATGGGGATGAGGGGGGAGGTGTAGCACTTCCTGCGGATAAAACTCAATCTGGGAGTGTTCAGGCGGCTTTGTCTCTAACTCCATGCTGTACCCATCTTGAGCATATTTGGCACATACAGGGAATTCTGCTGTGATAGATAGATGCATTCCTGTGAAACAACGCGTTATAGAAAATTGCGCTATAGAAATAATGGGGCCTATGGGAAAAGGGGGGATTAGGGTTAGACCAACAATAAAAAAAACACTCAATCACTCAAAAGCATATCACAAAGGATAGTACAGTTTGAACAAATGTTTAATTCACGTAATAATGAAATAACAGTAAATTTAGCACTTTATCTTGACAAATGTCAAGATGACTTGATGGGGTAGGAGGTTCTGAGGTAGCTCTGTTGTTAATGCTGGGGCTGAGGGTTGTCATCATCGTTACCATCATCACCTCCTTCAGGTGCAGTTTTGTTTGCAGGGTTGGGGCGAAAAATAGTTAATACAGAAGTGGATAGCTGCGGTTCATCGTCTTCTGACTGTTTCTTGGGGGATTTATTTAAAAAGACATCCAGTTTTTGCTACTTTGCCCTTTTTCTTTATTCATGAAGAAGCAGAGGGTGCCAAAGAAGATCTTATTCCACAAACTGCTACCCTGCTGCATTCTGCATTGTAATCATTGTCCTCTAATCATTGCAACCTCTTCTCAATTTCAGTCAGGATAGAAGACAAAACAGAAGTAGAAATCTCTCACGGTGCTGCATCCTGGACTACTACTTCATCTCCAGCTCCCACTGTCCCCTCAGTGACAAGTTCTTGTAGATCAGCTCTAGACAGGTCTTCACAGTGGGACTCCAGCAGCTCTTCAACATCCTGACTCTCCACTTCTTCAAATCCAATTTGCTTTGCAAGAGCAATACAATGTTCCTTGATTCTTGGAAGGTCCTCTGACATATCAAAACTTTAAATCTTGAAGAAAATCTGGGAGAAGCTTTCGCCAAACTGCATGCAAGCAGTCCTTACCAACATCACCTCAGGCCTCCATGATAATGTCAATTGCATTCTTGATGTTAAAGCTCTTCCAAAATTGAAGAACACTGACCTTATCCCCCTCAGTGGCTGCAATATGCCTCTTAAATGTGCGCCTTAAATAATAAGCTTTAAAAGTTGCTATTGCATCCTGGTCCATGGGTTCAAGGGCTGAGGTTGTGTTTGGGAGTAGAAATAGCTGTTTGATGTTTTCAGAAAGCTCACCAATGGTGGGAAGATAGCTTGGCACATTATCCAGGATAAGGAGAATCTTGAAATCCACTGTTTTTCCCTACAAGACTTTATAAAAGCATCTTCAAAACATCAACAATAAGGTCAGAAAAAATTTGCCCAGTCATCCAATCTCTTTTGCTTGACCTGAAGTGGACGCCTAGTGTAGACTCAAGGTAACCTTTCCAAGGCTCACGGGTTGGCAGAGTAGTACACTACCACAGGCTTAAGCTTTAAGTCTCCACTGGCATTGGCATCCAGCAGCACAGTCATACGATGCTTTGCCACCTTAAAGCCTGGAGTGTGCGCTTCATCCATAGAAATGTAGGTTCTTGATGGCATTTGCTTCCAGTATAAATCTGTCTCATCCAAATTGAAAAATTGATCTAAGCTGTAGCCTTCTTTGTCAATTAATTTTTTTGTAACTATATGGGAGGAAATGCCACTGCATGCTCCTCCATCTGCGCTGGCAGCTTCACCACATAACTTTACATTATGAAAAGCATAGCGGTTCTTAAAACCAGCAAACCAGCCTCAGCTAGCACTAAGGGCAGGCACATCTGCAGGTTTTTCAGATTGTTTTGTTAAATCTTCATAAATTCATAAGGCTTTCTCTCTTATAGTGAGGAGGGTCCCAGATTGCTTTTTCGTTTGCTCTTCCATCCACAGACTCAGAAGCCACTCCATCTCAAGATCCTTTGGACGTGACATCAGAGATTTGCTAGCACTCAGACTCGTTCCAGCAATACAACTTGCTTTAATCTTTTCTGCATTGTCTCTAATGGTGTAAGGTAGACACCTTCATTCCTGTTGCATGAGCAATATCACATGTTCTCTCATTATGCTCAAAACGCTTTACAAGCTTCTCTTCCAGCACTATGGCCTTCTTTTATGTACACCATCTGCAATTTTATCACCAGGATGCTTCTTGTTATCATTCTTGCCACTTTGTCCTCGCATTTTGTGGGTAACACGGCAGAATTGTACAGTACCTCGCAGAGCGCGAGGATCTTTGATGCCAGCACGGGGACTCTTTCAGCGCATGCTCAGGACAAAGCCCACAAACTGATCATGTGATGTTGACGTTGGAATTGCTTAACAGCTGGCACAAAGTTTGCGTTTTGCATATACCATTCCCCGATTCGCAATCACATTATAGCCAATTAGCATTTCCAGAACACGCGTTATACAGGGGGTTCTCCTGTACATAATTTATAAAAGTAGTCCATTCTCTGACACCAATACCTCTTCCATAAAGAAACATTAGAAATAACCTTGTACAAAAACAATAGCAGGCCTGAACTTTACAACCTTTCTCTCAGTTTTGATTTTTGAGAAGTCTGATTAGGTTTTAGAGGCTTTCAGATTGAATCTTGACAAGTCAGCTTTTACAGAGAAGCAGCAACTGTTCTGGCCAGCAAGACAAGATTTGAGATAATTTAGATGAAAATTTAAGGAACTGTTTATTTTTGAAGATGACGACAATTTGAAGATTAATTATGTAAAGCAATACTAAGGTATGAGGAGCTAAAGCAGTGTTTGCCAATTTTTTTCTTGTTATGACCCCTCCGTAGGAACTGAGAAAGCAGGATACAGCTGACCTAATGGTTAAAGTTCTAACAGTTATGGCTGCCTCACAGATCAACACCAAACATCAGCTCACAACCCCATTTGGGGAAGATCTGGGCTAAAAGTTACATTCTTCCTACCTGAATGCTTTGGGGTTAAGGCCCGCATGGTGAGGAATCATCGTGATGAGCGCATTCTGTAACATCAGAAGGCGCCGGTATGTCTTTTCCTGCATTGGTAATAGAAGTCCCATCCCACCATCCAGTGTTGCTGTGAGACAAATTGAAAATAATTAAATAATTTTTAAAATGAACATAGATTTAATCAGTTAAGTTCACTAATGACACAAAAATTGGTGGTGTGCTCAGCAGCAAGGAGGAAAACCTTAGACCAGACAATATAAACGAGATGAAATAAGTGGTCAATGGAATATAATCCTGAAAAGTGAAAGGTGATGTATTCTGAGAAGGCTAACAAGGCAAGGGAGTACACTAAGTGAATGGTAAGACCCTAGGAAGTACACAGGATCAGAGGGAGCTTCGTGTGCGTGTCCACTGATCCTTGCACGCAACAGGACGGGCAGATAAGATGATCAAGAGGACGTATGGGGGATACTTGTATTTAATGCCTTAACTAATAAAGGCAAGGGCAGGGAGGTTCAGATGGAGCTGTATAAGACATTAGTGAGGCCACAGCTGGAGTACTCTCTCCCTTTCTAGTTACCACACATAGGAAGGATAATGACAGCACTAGAGAGGATGCAGTGGAGATTCACCACATTATTGCCTGGACTGGTGCAATTCAGCTATGAAGAGTGACTAGAGGGGCTGGCGTTATTTTCCTTAGAGCAGACGGTCTGAGGAGGGGTTAAAATTGAATCAGAGATAGTAGGAACTGCAGATGCTGGAGAATCCGAGACAACAAGGTGCAGGGCTGGATGAACACAGCAGGCCAAGCAGCATCCGATTGAGATGTACAAAATTATAACAGGCATCAAAAGGATAGATAGGAGGAAACATTTCTCCTTAGTACAGGGTCAATCCTTTACAAGATAAAGGGCAGGAGGTTGATTTAAGCATTTTTCAGCCAAGGTGGTGAGTATCTGGAGCCAACTGCTGGAAAAGGTGGCACAGGTGGGAACTGTCACAGTATTTAAGAAGCTTTTAGATGAACATTTGAAGCACCATAGAATACAGGTCTATGGGGTAAGTACTGGAAATGGGACTACAGTAGATGGGTGCATTCGCAACCATTGAATTCTACAGAATTCAGAGTGTGGAAACAGGCCATTCAGCCCATCAAGTCCACACCGACCATCCAAAGAGCATCCGACCCAGACCCAGCCCCCTACCCTTTCCCTGTAACCCTACATTTCCCACGACTAACACACCTAACCTACACATCCCTGAACGCTATGGGGAATTCAGCATGACCAATCCACCTAGCCTGCACATGTTTAGACTGTAGGAGAAAATGGAGCACCCGGAGGAAACCCACACAGACACAGGGAGAACGTTGCCAGAGGGTGGAATTAAACCCAGGTCTCTGGTGCTATGAGGCAACAGTGCTAACCACGGAGCCATCATGCCACTCTTGCAGATAAGGCGGGCCAAAGGGCCTCTTCCCATGCTTTAGAACTAAGACTCCAAACATTGCTGACAGAAACACAATCTATACAGAGAAATAAGGATCCAAACCAATCACTGTTCTTAGGAAATCAATCAACAGTTAAATGTATCCAGCACAAATCCAATGTATAACGATATTCACCAAACCAGGTAATATGTTTGTTCTCCCAAGCCAGGTTTTTCTTATTTGAGCCATCCATAATTCCACGACATGGTGTCCGCCAGAATGCATTCACATGTGCAGCCACATTAAAGTCTGCTCTCCGCAGTAATCGTGTCCCCCCATAGCTCTCCCTTGCTGAAAGAGAATAACCACAGATTTGTGTTCTGCTGAAAAGACATTTTTCCAAAGCTTTTCATCTTGTACTCACGAGAACATTTTTGCAAGAAAATCAACATTAATAACACATGAGGAAAGTACTGATTTGTTTCCAAGTGGACTCTGAATGGTAGAACATAGAACATTACAGCGCAGTACAGGCCCTTCGGCCCTCGATGTTGCGCCGACCTGTGAAACCAATCTGAAGCCCATCTAACCTAAACTATTCCATTATCATCCATGGAGAATGCACCAGTTAATGATTGACAGTTACTGATCAAGGTTTGTTTAAATTTTAAACCAGGCAGGTTGACTCTGATTGATGAAGGTATTGCCCAAACAAATGATCCAGCAAATGGGCATCACCTGTACTAAGATAACAAGGTGTAGAGCTGGATGAACACAGCAGGCCAGGCAGCATCAGAGGAGCAGGAAAGCTCACGTTTCGGGTCTGGACCCTTCTTCAGAAGGGCCTGCTGTGTTCATCCATCTCTACACCTTGTTATCTCAGACTCCAACATTGACAGCTCCTACTACCACCTGTACTGTTGAGTTGAAACAGGGTCAATGTGTGTAAGGGTTCTTTCTGACTCCAAAGGGTAGGGCCCTGTGTATTCATATGTGTAGCTTCCAGTGGATGCATGACAAAACGTTTGATAAAAGACTACCCTGTCTTGTTGGCTTTGCTCTCAGTAAAGCAGACTCAATTCTCCATTTTACATCCATCATCTACACCCATTTTAGATCTCAATCACTCCTTCACCACCATAAGTACCACCATTGTCTTTTGCTCTGGGCAGCCTCATCACCTGTTCCACTCACTCCTCTTCTCCCTCTGTCATTAAGAGGCACCATTGTCCAACTCCTTTCAGTTCCATAGATGAGTCATCGGATTTGAAAAATTAACTGTGTTCCTCTTCTCATAACGGTTGACAGACTTGCCGAGTTTCTCTAGCACTTTCTGGTTTGATTTCAGACTTCTAACGTCCATGGTGTTTTGCTTTTACTTAGAAGAGTGCATGACTAACAAGACAGTATGGATAAATGGGTCCTCTTCAGATTGGCTGGATGGGACATGGGGGTCCTGCAGGTGGTCTGTTGGACCTTCAATGTTTTATCATTTATATTAATGTAAGATGAGGGGATCAAAGTCACAGTGGCTAAATTTGCAGAAGACACAAAGGTAATTAGGAAAGTATATTGTCAAGATGTCATAACCCACCTATAAATCTGTCTGCATCCTTGTTATGCACATGGACAAATGTCTGGCAGATGGAGTACGATGTGACAAAATGAGAAGTTGTTCAATTTGGTAGGAAGAACAGAAGTGTAATGCTTAATGGAGAATGACCTGCAGAATTCCAAAGTGCACAGGGATCCAGGCGTTCTTCTGCATGAATGACATGGGAGGTGATGCCCTAGTGGTATTATTACTGGAATGTTAATCCAAGGATCCAGGTTCAAATTCCACCACAGATGGTAGAATTTGAATTCAATAAAACTCTGGAATTAAAAGTCTAATGATAACCATGAATCCATTGTTGATTGTTGGAAAAACTCATCTGGTTCACTAAGGTCCTTCAGGGTTGAAACTGCCATTCTTACCAAGTGTGCTGTACGTGTGACTCCAGACCTACAGCAATGTGGGGTTGATTCTTAACTGCCCTCTGGACAATTAGCTTGCCTTCTCTCCATGGATGCTGCCTGACCTACTGTGATCTCCAGCACTTTTTGTTTTCAGTTCAGATTCCAGTATCTGCAGTAATTTGCTCTATCTTCCATTAGTTAGCGAGACCTCTATCCATGCTAATATACTTCCTCCAACGCAATGGACTCTTAAGTAGCCTAATGTACGGTACCTTATCAAACACCTTATAAAAATTCAACTATCTTACATCCACTGTTTCCCCTATATCTATCTATCTTGTTACCTCCTCAAATAATTCTAGCAAATCTGTCAGGCATGATTTCCCCTTCATGAAGCCATGCTGACTCTGCTTGATTATATTATGTATTTCTAAATGCTCTATTACACCCTCCGTAATAGACTCTAACGTGGGCAGCACGGTGGTTCAGTGGTTAGCACTGCTGCCTCACAACGCCAGGGACCCGGGTTCGATTCCACCCTCGAGTGACGGTCTGTGTGGAGTTTACACATTCTCCTCGTGTCTATGAGGGTTTCCTCTGGTTTCCTCCCACAGTCCAAAGATGCGCAGGCTAGGTGAATTGGCCGTGCTAAACTGCCTTTAGTGTTCAGGGATGTGTAGATTAGGGGATGGGTCTGGGTGGGATGCTCCTAGGGTCGGTGTGGACTTGTTGGGCCAAAGGGCCTGTTTCCACACTGTAGGGATTTAATGAAAAAACATTTTCTCAATAACGCATATGAATATATGAATCTTACAGGCCTGGAGTTATCAGTTTTCTGTCTCCTTCTCCTTTATTTTAAAGGTTTTAAAATAAAATAAAAATTGGCAATTTTCTAATCCTCTGGGAATTTTCCAGAATCTAAGGATTCTTGGAAGATTACTAATGCTGCATCCACTATCTCTGTAGCTACATCCTTTAATATCCTAGGATGCTTCCCAAAGATTCAGGAGACTTATCGGTCTTTAGCTTCATTAATTTCCCTAGTACTTTTTCTCTGTTAATAGCTAATTTGTTTCCTCTCCTCCTTTTGCCCTTTAGGCATTTAGTCATATTACTGTTTTCTACTGTGAGGAGTAAGGCAATGTATTATAGAGAATCCCTGCAGGGCAGACTGAGGCAATTCGGATCATCAAAACTGCACTGACACTCCAAAGCACATCCTACCCTATCCCTGCAAGCCCACATTTACCACAGTTAACCCACCTAGTATGCACATCCCTGAACAGGACAATTTAGCGTGGCCAATCCACCCAACTTGCACATCTTTGAACTGTGGGAAGAAGCAGGAACATCAGGCAGAAACTCAAGCAAATAAAGGGAGAATGAGTGAACTCCACACCAACATGTATCCAAGACTGGAATCGAATCTGGGCCCCTGGATTTGTGAAGCAGCAGTGATAACCATTGTGCCACCCTAATTATTCAAATCTTCTGCTATTTCTTGACTCCCCAACATTATTTCCCAAGCTCCATTCTCTAAAGGAGCCTGTGCTCACTTTGAAGAGATATGCTGGGAGGTTACAAACCCTCAGATTGTCAAATAAAAAAATACTTCCACTAACATTACATTCTCCTCAACCAAAATTGTCCCATAGCGCTTTACTGCCATTGAGTAGCGGTACATTCTGATATGTGGTCACCATTCTATATGATCTGTGCACTGCTGGAGAGAGTTTTTTTTACATGAGAAGGTGACCAAACAGGTGGATGAGGGTAAAGCGGTTGATGTGGTGTATTTGGATTTCAGTAAAGCGTTTGATAAGGTTCCCCATGGTAGGCTATTGCAGAAAATACGGAGGCATGGGATTGAGGGTGATTTAGTGTTTGGATCAGAAATTGGCTAGCTGTAAGAAGACAGAGAGTGGTGGTTGATGGGAAATGTTCATCCTGGAGTTCAGTTACTAGCGGTGTACCTCAAGGATCTGTTTTGGGGCCACTGCTGTTTGTCATTTTTATAAATGACCTGGATGAGGGCGTAGAAGGATGGGTTAGTAAATTTGCGGATGACACCAAAGTCAGTGGAGTTGTGGATAGTGCGGAAGGATGTTGCAGGTTACAGAGGGACATAGATAAGCTGCAGAGCTGGGCTGAGAGGTGGCAAATGGAGTTTAATGCGGAAAAGTGTGAGGTGATTCACTTTGGAAGGAGTAACAGGAATACAGAGTACTGGACTAATGGTAAGATTCTTGGTAGTGTGGATGAGCAGAAAGATCTCGGTGTCCATGTGCATAGATCACTGAAAGTTGCCACCCAGGTTGATAGCGTTGTTAAGAAGGCGTACAGTATGTTAGGTTTTATTGGTAGAGGGATGGAGTTTCGGAGCCATGAGGTCATGTTGCAGCTGTACAAAACTCTGGTGCGGCCGCACTTGGAGTATTGCATACAGTTCTGGTCACCGCATTATAGGAAGGATGTGGAAGCATTGGAAAGGGTGCAGAGGAGATTTACCAGGATGTTGCCTGGTATGGAGGGAAGGTCTTATGAGGAAAGGCTGAGGGTCTTGAGGCTGTTTTCGTTAGAGAGAAGAAGGTTAAGAGGTGACTTGATAGAGACATACAAGATGATCAGAGGATTAGATAGGGTGGACAGTGGGAGCCTTTTTCCTCGGACAGTGATGGCTAGCACGAGGGGACATAGCTTTAAATTGAGGGGTGATAGATATAAGACAGATGTCAGAGGTAGGTTCTTTACTCAGAGAGTAGTAAGGGCGTGGAATGCCCTGCCTGCAAAAATAGTAGACTCGCCCACTTTAAGGGCATTTAAATGGTCATTGGATAAACATATGGATGATAATGGAATAGTTTAGGTTAGATGGGCTTCAGATTGGTTTCACAGGTCGGCGCAACATCGAGGACCGAAGGGCCTGTACTGCGCTGTAATGTTCTATGTTCTATGTTCTATATACTAACTCATTAGGTCAGAGTTTAATTAAAGAGCCGGATAAAAATTCTGAACTTTAACCTAATTAAATACATCCTTTATGGGAAACCCGGAGATTAAGGAGAAAGGGCTAAGTCCAAAGTAGAGAAGGCGGTGCATAACACAGAGGAAACAATGCAATTCGCAACTTGTATTAAAATTATTTTCGGAAGGTCATAATTCACAACTAGCCAATGATATCGGAATGAGAACAGAGAAAAAGAGAAACTATAGAAACAGCAAGGCAATGCTGAATGTTCACCACCACACAGCAAGGAATAAGAAATAACTCATACCTTCTGGCTGATACATATACACTAGGAGATTCTTTTCACGATCAGACACTGAAATCAAAGAAAAAAAATAGATGGTCAGTTCCACTTAAAGAGAGAGCTGCAAATATACCCAAGTACTTAAAACCTGCATTGCTACTTATACTGAAAAGCTCTGATAAAGAGTTATCTGGACTTGAAACATTAGCTTGCTTTCTCTCCATCAATGCTGCCTGACCCATGTGATTTCCCACAATTTTTTTGTTTTCTCTACACTGAAGACTTGTCAGGCTAGTCCAGTGTTTTCACAAGTTTTTGAATTCACTGATGGGGTGTCATTAACTGGCCAGCATTTATTGCCCATCCCAAGTTGTCCTTCTGAAGATGGCTGTGAGCTGCCTTCTTGAACTGCTACAGTCCATGTGCTTTAAGTGGACCCACAATGCCATTAGGAAGGGAGTTTAAGGTTCGTGATCCAACAACACTGAAGGGATGATGAACTGAAGGAAGGTGAGTGGCTCAGAGGAAAATCTGCAGATGGTCATGTTCCCACTTATCTGCTGCCTTTGTCCTTTGTAATGCAAGTGCTTGTGGTTTGGAAGGCAAAGTCTAAGGAGCTTTGATGACTTTCTGTAGTAAATCTTGTAGATAGAACATTCTGCTGCCAACAAGTGGTGGAGGGAGTGGATTCCAGTGGATGTAGCACCAATTTGTGGGCTGCTTTGTCCTGCTTGGTGTCAAGTTTTTTGAGTGTTGTTGGAGCTGCATCCATCCAGGCAAGTGGGAAGGATTCCATCACACTCCTGACTTGTGCCTTGTCAACAGTGAACAGGCTCTGGGGTGTCAGGAGATGAATTACTTGCTCATGATTCCTAGCATTTGGATGGTTCTTGTGGCCACTGTATTTATATAGCAAGTCCAGTTCAGTTTCTGGTCGATTGTAACCCCCAGGATGTTGATAGTGGGGAATTTGGTGCTGGTAACTTCCAACCAGAAGCACAAGGACAACAGATACATGGGAACACCATTCCCCGCAAGTTCCCCTTCAAGCCCCACATCATCCTGACTTGTGGAAACCACCACTCTGTTCTCTAGACAACATGTCTGTCTCTGGCTTGCTGCAGTGTTCCAGCGAAGTTCAACGCAAGCTGGAAGAACAACACTTCATTTTCTGCTCAGGGACCCTGCTGCCCTCCGGACTCAATATCGAGTAATTTTAGGGCCTAAACTGTCCTATGTCCTAGTCCCCTATCCCACACACCAGGCCTTGTTATCACATAGTGGATACTATGTAATGGCAGGCTGTTAGTCAACATAGAACAGTACAGCACAGTACAGGCCCTTTGGCCCACGATGTTGTGCCGACCTATTATCCTACTAAAGTCAATCTACACTGCATACCCTACATTTTACTATCCCCCATGTGCCTATCCAAGAGTCGTTTAAAAGTCTCTGAAGTATCTGACTCCACTACCACTGCCGGCAGCGCATTCCACACGCCCACCAATTTGTGTGAAGAACCTACCTCTGACATCTCCCCTATACCTTCCTCCAATCACCTTAAAATTATGCCCCCTCGTAATAGTCATTTCCACCCTGGGAAAAAGTGTCTGGCTGTCCACTCTATCTATGCCTCTCATCATCTTGTAAACCTCTATCAAGTCACCTCCCACCCTTCTTCACTCCAATGAAAAAGCCCTAGCTCCCTCAACCTTTCCTCATAAGACCTGCCCTCTGGTCCAGGCAGCATCCTGGTAAATCTCCTCTGCACCCTCTCTAAAGCTTCCACATCTTTCCTGTCACCAGCAGTTCCCATTAACAGCTATTCACCCTCCTAGTTATCAACTCCTTTGTCTATCCAACTGCTTTTCTCTCTCTTTGGGCTCTGTCCTTCATCCTGTCGTTTACTCCCTACCCCACTCCACTCCCTATTTTCTGCATATAAACTGACGATTTCCCAGCTACCATCAGTTCTGAGGAAGGGTCACTGGACCCAAAAAGTTAACTGTGACTTTTTCTTCACAGATGCTGCCAGACCTGCCGAGCTTTTCCAGCAACTTCTGTTTTTGATCCTGACTTGTGGATTCTGGGTAATCCAAGATGGAGGATGGGAGAAAATTGTGGCTGTAACAGCTGCTCCTTTCATTGAGGTATTTTCAGTGTTAGAGCGGATTTTCTCAAATTCTTGGGGCACTAGTTACTGTTTTGTAAGCTGTTGCATTGTTTTTGAACTTTGTGGAAGAGCTCAAAACAATGGCATTTTAAAAATGGAGGAAAAGAGAGGGAGCAGGTACCACATGGGAGGTGAAAAAGGAGGAAGTGAACCTGCACAGTTGCCTGACCAGGCAGTAAACTTTCACAACTGACTGCCTCTGCTGTTAGTTTCAAATATCTCTGGACATGGGGGCTGTTCTAAGCAAAATACACAAATATGAAATCCACAGCTGAGCTGGGAGAAACCTGTGTGCAGAGCTCACACTAGGGGAACACCTATGTGGTTCTCTTTTTTAAAAAGTCTAACCTTACTTTTTGTAAATCTACAACAGTGAGTTGAGTGGGGTTTTTTGATTATATACTTTATTGGGATCTGTCTCTTGATTAAACTTTATAAAGAATATAAAACATAGGTACCAAGTAACCCTTCAGCAGTAATATTGTGCTATTTTCTGGGTCTGTAGATTAAGTAGAGTCATGTGCTCTTCCCGTTGAATGTGGGAGTTTAGGGAGAGTTTCCATGTTACTGATGATTGTGTCTGCAGGAAATGTGTTTGCTTGCGAATCTTATTGGATTGCATGGATAGGTTGGAGCGGCAGTTAGAGGCAATGAGAAATTTTTAGGAGCTGGGGTGTGTAATGGATGGCAGTTTCAGGAAGGAAGAAAAACCGCAGATACAGTCAGGTAGATGGGTTACTTCTAGGAAAGGTAGGAGAGGTAGGCAGGTAGTGCAGGAGCCTCCTGTGGCTATTCCCATCTCAAACATGTATTCTGTTTTGGAAAATGTAGGCAGTGATGCACTCTCAGGGGAATGTAGTGCTGACAGCCAGGTTTCTGGTACCGAGACTAGCTCTAATGTAACAAGAGGTATGCCAGGTTCCGCAATCAACTGTGATAGGAGACTCTCTACTCAGAAGCACAGACAGACATTTCTGCAGCTGGCAATGAGACATCAGAATGGTGTGTTGCCTCCCTGGTGCCAGGGTCACAGATGTCTCGGAGAGGGTGCAGGACATTCTTAAAGGGGAGAGGGACTAGCAGTAGGTCATTGTACATGTTGGAAATAAAGACATAGGAAGAGGAAACGACAAGGTTCTGATGGGAGAATATAGGAAATTAGGCAGGAGGTCCTCGAGGGTAGTAATATCTGGATTACTGGTGCCATGTGCTAGTGAGTACGAACAGGAGGATACAGCAGATGAATGCGTGGCTGAGGAGCTGGTGCAGGGGAGAAGGATTCACATTTTTGGACCATTGGAATCGTTTCTGGGGTAGATGTGACCTGTATAAGAAGGATGGGTTGCACCTGAATTGAAAGGGGGCTAATATACTGACAGGGAGATTTGCTAGAGCTTCTCGGGAGGACGTAAATCAGTAAGGGTTGGGGGATGGGGGAGTCCTTGCGAGAAAAGAGATCAGTCTGAGACTGGTACAGTTGGGAAAAGGAGGAAGTCAAAATAGGCAGGGCAGGCAGGGACAAAACAGAGAACAAGGAAGGATTTATTTATTTCAATGCAAGAGGCCTGACAGGTAAGACAGATGAACCCAGGACACGGTTAGGAACATGGGACTGGGGTATCATAGCAATTACATGGCTCAGGGATGGAGAGAATTGGCAGTTATTTGGATGGAACTGAGAAATAAGAAAGGGATGATCACCTTTACTGGGATTGTACTTCTTCAGAAGGGTCCAGACCCAAAACATCAGCCTTCCTGCTCCTCTGATGCTGCTTAGCCTGCTGTGTTCATCTAGCTCTACACCTTGTTATCTCAGATTCTCCAGCATCGGCAGTTCCTACCATCTTTGAATAAGCAGGAGCTATTTTTTCTGAAGTGTCAGAGGCTGAGGAGTGACTTTATAGAGGTTTAGAATTCATGAGGGGCATGGATAGGGTGAAATGCCAAGGTCTTTCCCTCAGGGTAGGGGAGTCCAAAACTAGAGGACATAGGTTTAAGGTGAGAGAGGAAATATTTAAAAGGAACCCAAGGGGCAACTTTTTCACCCAGAGGGTGGTGTGTATGGAATGAGCTGCCAGAGGAAGTGAGGTGGGTTGGTACAATTACAACATTTAAAAGGCATCTGAATGGGATGGGTTTAGAGGGATATGGGCCAAATGGTGGCAAATGGGACTAGATTAACTTAGGATGTCTGGTATACATGGATGAGTTGGATCAAAGGGTATGTTTCCATGCTATACTGATCTTTGACTTGGAAATATATCACCCCTCCTTCAGTGTCATTGGGTCAAAATCCAAGAATTTCCTCCTAATTGCATTGTGGATCTAACTACAGCACATGGACTGCGGTGGTTGAAGAAGGCAGCTCACCACCACCTATCCATGGGCAACTGAAGATAGGCAATCAATGCTGGTCCAGCCAACAACGCCCACATCCCAGGAGTGAATAAAAACAAAAGCAGCAAACCTTTGCGCAATGATCTATAATAACAGGCCTGGACAGTAACTTACCAAGGAATCCCAACTGAGAGCTGTCCACCATAAATTCAATGCTGTACACTTCCAGAAGCTTGGGATCCTGGGGCACAATTGACATTAACAATTACAGGTGAGATTTGAAAATGGAACACTTACATACTACATCAATTCATCTGGAGACCATTCAAACTATTTTCCTTCTCACTTGAGCATGTCAACCTTTGCCCAGGCTACAATTCCACAATCATTAGGGACTCCTCTGCCATCTAATCAACTATGTAAAAGCCAAGTGCTGCAGAAACCTAGGTCTGGAACTATCAATGGAGAAAGAAACAAAGTTAATGTTGAGTCCAATGACTGTTCTTCAGAATTGTACTCAAAATGATAACTCTGTTTGCCTCCACAAATATTACCACACCTGCTGAGTTTCTCCAGCTGTTTCTGTTTTATTCCCTCGTGTCTCCAGCATCTACAAAGTATTGCTTTTTTTATTATAAAATACAGAGATCATCAGATTCTGTGCTCCTCAGGGTCTTTCAGCTACCCTGGCTGGATAGAAAAGGGCTTCATGAAACGTCACAAAGTTTGAACCATCTACTAGCATCACACATGAACAAAGGTCCCTTAGACAAGGTAGCAAAGCATGCCGACTGACTTACATCCCAAGGGCACTAAGCTATTCCCATTACTGGGGCTCAGTATGTGCTGCACACATACCCTGCTAACAAGGGACAGAGTCTTACTCTCCTCCTGGTAGCGGAGGATGGAGACACTTTTCATGATGTCTGCTGCCATGATGAAATTCTTCACACTGATCATCTGATGAATATAAAGCTGAGTGTCGATGAACGCCATTCCAGTCAGGTCATTGTCTTTCAGACTCCACAGGAAAATCTGCACAAGAGGAATTTTATCAATGGGACATTACTGAATAGAAGATCAAGAGGGAAAAATACTCAATTCCTTCCAATTCTTAAATTTTAAATGGTCTGCATCAGGAGCTGGTGAGTGCAAGAGTCTTAAGGGACGTTTTTTTAAAATTTTTTTTATCTGAAATCTAGTCTTTTTCCATTTAATTTAGTTGGTGAGCACAAGAGTCTTAAAAGGCTTTCTTTTTATCTAAATTCACACTTTTCTTTGGGGAAGTTGATGGTGTAGTTGTGATATTGTTAGACTAGTAATCCAGAACTCCAAGCTAATGTCTCTGTTGGTTAGAACATGGAGTATAGGAGTTCGGACAAAATGTTGCAGTTGTACAAATTGTTTGTAAGGCACACAGTTCTGGTTGCACTGCTACAGGAAGGATATTATTAAATTGGAAAGGGTGCAGAAAAGATTTACAAGGACCTTGCTGGGACTAGGGTGCCTGCATTATATGGAGCGGCTGAATAGGCTGGAACTTTTTTCCCTGAAACATAGGAGGTTGAGGGGTGACCTTAAAGAGGTTTATAAAATCATGACAGGCATGCATAAGGTGAATAGCTGAGGTCTTTTCACTAAGAAAAGAGAATTCAAGACTAAACAGCAAGGGACCTGAGGGATCATGTTTTCACACAGAGGGTGATGCATATATGGAATGAACTGCCAGAAGAAATGGTAGATGCAAGTACAGTTACAACATATAAAAGACATGTAGACCAGTACATGAATAGGAAAGGTTTGGAAAGATATGGGCAAACAGGCAAATGGGACTAGTTTAGATTGGGAAACCTGGTCAGCATGGACGTGTTGAACTGAAGGATCTGTTTCCAAACTGTATACTGTTTCCATACTAACTCCAATGTTCTCAGAACACAGGTTCAAATGCAACTATGGCGGATGGTGAAATTTAAATTCAATTTAGATTCAGAATAAAAAGCTCATATACAAAACACAGCTACCTCACTAAAGTCGTGCAGATTACTGCTAACCAGAAACTGAACTGGACTAACCATATAAATACATAGCTACGATAGGTCAGAGGATACTCCCCATTTGCCTGGACGAGTGTAGCTCCAACAACATTCAAGAAGCTAAACACCATCCAGGACATAGCAGTCTACTTGATTGACACTACATGGACAAATATTTAAGACTTTCAACCACAAGTGCTCAGTAGCAGCAGTGTGTTCCATCTACAAGATGCACTAAGGCACTAAGCACTAAGGAATTCACTAAGGCTAAACCTACTACTATCTAGAAGAATAAGGGCAGCAGATACATTGCGAGCACCACCAGCTGCACGTTCCCCTCCAAGCCACTCACCACCCTGGCCTGGAAATACATTGCCTTTCCTTCAGTGCTGATAGTCAAAAATCTTGAAGGCCTCTTATTTACAAGCTTGTTGGTCTACCTACACAAAATGGACAGCAGTGTTCAAGAAGGCAGTTCATCACCACCTTTTCAAAAGCAACTAGGAATGGGCTTCTAGCTATGCTAGAACTAGAGTTGTGAAAAATCAGCCCTCGGGAGAATTAAATTTGGTCTCCTCTCCTGCACTAAAAATCTCCATGCTTGCTGCATCAGCCGATTGAACACCCAGGTAAGTAACAAATTGATAATGGATAACATGTTTGAGACTTTTTTGGCAACTGAAATATTGAACATGCTGACATTGCACTGAGGGAGCAAGCCCAAGCTGTGTTTACCTTCTGTCCAATGGCTGAGACAAGGTAACCATTGCAGTTACACAGGGCAGTCACAGGGCCTTTCTGCTCCTTCTCATATAGCACTTTGAATTTGTTCTTGGTCAGAGGCTGGCCAGGCTCGGGCACAACCTCGATGACATCAAGTATCAGGATCTGTAGAGAAAGAAAGAACAAAAATAGTGAATAATTTTAATCTTGCTGTCGTGAGGGGCATGTTGCTGAAGCTTTTCATCTTACACTCATCAGGGCAAGCACGCGTCCCGATGACAAGACAAAAAGTTTTGGCAACAAAATCTCCCTCTTCAGCAGTGCTCAAGTTCTGTACCACCACTCGACTGTGAATACAGGCTGTTGATTGAAATCCAGTACACTGAAAGTACAAAGGCCTACTTCCTGCTCTTATTTTCTGTGTTCATAAGAAATCTACACGATATCTCACTCTGTTTTTCAATATCTGCAAATTCCAAAGTGTTAAACCGGAAAGTTAGTTTGAGCTACAGATCTGCTAGCCTGATTTCATTGTAGGGAAAATACTAGAATCCATTATAAAGGTTGAGATGACCAAACAATTAGAAAGTTACAGTCTAATTTGATTGAGTCACCGTGGATGTATAAAGAGGAAATCACAATTGTCAAACCTGTTTGCAGTTTTTGGGAATGTTACTAGCAGAGTCATTAAGGGAGAAGCAGTGGACGTCGTGTATTTGGATTTTCAGAAGGTTTTTTTTTGATAAAGTCCCACATATGAGATTGGCTAACAAAATTAAAACACAGAGTTGGGAGTTTGCACTATCATAGACTGAGGATTGGTTAACTGGTAAAAAGCAGACAGTAGGAATAAAAGTGTCACTCTCGGGTGGGTAGACTATGTACCAGTGGGATATCGCAGGATATGGCACTTGGGCCCCAACTGTTCACAACCCACATCAATGATTTGGATACGGGAGCCAAATGTAATGTTTACAAGTTTGCAAATGATACCAAAACTTCATGCAAATGAAAGTTGTGAGAAGAATACAGAGAAGCTTATAAGGGATTTAGATGGGCTGAATGGGTGGACAAGAACCTGCCAGATGGAATATAATGTGGTTAAGTATGAGGTTAATCACTTTGGTCAGAAGGAAAAAGGCACAGAGTTTTCCCTGAATGGTGAGAGATGTTCGAAAGGACCCAAGGTATCAAGTTCATCAGTCACTGAATATGTATGCAGCTGCAACAAGCAATTCAGAAGGCAAATGGTAATTTTACCACAAGACGATGAGAGTACAGAAGCAAGGAAGTCTCACTTCAATTGTGTAGGACATTGATAAGGCCATATCTAGAGTACTGTGCACCGTTCTGGTCCCCTTGCATAAGGAAGGACATATTTGCCATAGAGGGAATGCAACAGAAATTCACCAGACTGATCCTGGGGATAGATTTAGATAAGTGGGGCTGCCCCATGAGGAGAGATGGAAGATTTGAGGGCTGTATGCTCTAGTTCCTTGGTTATTCTGAGACACTGGGTTCTAGCCCCATAGCCAAGGAAATCATCCTTTCTTCATCTACACTGTCTATTCCATTAAAGATGTTTAAAGTTTCTATGAAATCACCCTTAATTCCTCTTCGTGGGATATCCAGGGAACAAGTCAGGTGAACCTTCGCTGCACTATTATGGTAATAATATTCTTCCTGAGGCAAGGAGACCACAATTCTTAAGAACTGAAACAAGACCTCTCCAATCCTGTACTCAAATCCTATTGCAATAAATACTAACATTCCATTAATCTTCCTCATAGCTTGCTGCACCTGCATGTTCACTTTCAGTGCCATATTGACAAGGACACTTAAGTCCCTTTGTACACCTTCGCTTTCCACCTTCTCACCTTTTAACGAATATTTTGACCTTCTTCAGTGTGTTACAGTTGTACTCATCCAGGTAAGTGGAGAATGTTCCATCATTCCCTGGTGTGTGCCTTGCAGAATCCCCAGCCTGTAGCCTGTTCTATGCGCAAGAACATCCCAGGAGACAAACAGCACCAAAGTACAAACTGGCACTATCTTAAGTTAGGAAAAGCTCTATCGCTGTGGAATCCCAAGTGTGTCAATATTTATGTAGAATGCCAGAGGTTAAAACCACTGCTGTACACAAATGTGCAGTCTCACAACTCAGAGCATTTTCATGTGATTTTTTTTTTAAAAAGTTTCTTCATCTGAACTATATACAACTGTGAAAGTGGTGCCACAGTCCAAAAATTTGCAAGGTAGATTGATTAGCCATGGTAAATGTGGGGTTACAGGTTTGGGTGAGGTTCTCGGTTTACGGGGTGTCAATGCAGAATCAATGGGCCAAATGGTGCACTGCAGGGATTCTATGATTCCATGTATAAAATTAGATAGTGTTGACAGCAAAATTCCCACTATTGTAAGTTTTGATACCAATGCAATGAGTTGTTACAAGTCATATGAATAGTGTCTATCTGACTCACCCGGCCCCTACATGTAACCTCCTCGCCCTGTGTTAGACACGTCCCCACAGCAATGTAACCTTTCAGTCCTGACACCGTCTCCTCGCTCCTGAGCGACACAGTTTTCATGCAGGTTACGTGTTCCCAGTCCTCCATGTCAATCCTACACAAATTTGAAAATTAGGTGTTAGAGGAACTGAGATGACGGGATGTACAAATGGGAAACTGGCAACTGTTCACTTGTTTGTCCAAACCTCTGCTGTCTATGTCTGAACTGACAACAGCTTCCATCCATCATCACTGAGCTCACTGACTTTCTTGTCCAGTAGTGTCTCAATGCGAGGACTTTAAACATTTTCTTTCAAAATTTCTCTGTTTCCTCATGCTTTCCCGAAACCAGTAACCATCTGTAACCCAACAACCTTCCAAGGTCTCTGTACTCTTTCAAGTCCGGACTCAAGTATTCCATAAGATCATAAGACAGGAGCAGAAATTAGGCCATTCGGCCCATCGAGTCTGCTTCACCATTCAGTCATGGCTGATAAGTTCCTCATCCTCATTCTCCTGCCTTCTCCCCGTAACCTTTGATCCCATTAACAATGAAGAGCCTATCTATCTCTGTCTTAAACATACTTGATGACCTGACCTCCACAGCCTTCCGTGGCACTGAATTCGATAGATTCACCACTCTCTGGCTGAAGAAGTTTCTCCTCATCTCCATTCTAAAGGGTCTTCTCTTTACTTTCCGCTGTGCCCTCGGGTACTAGTCTTTCCTGCTAATGGAAACATCTTCCCAACATCCACTCTATCCAGGCCTTTTAGTCTTCTGTAAGATTCAATTAGAACCCCCATTATCCTTCTAAACTCCATCCAGCATAGACCCAGAGTCCTCAAATGTTCCTCATATGTTTAAGCCTTTCATTCCTGGGATCATCCTCGTGAAACCTCCTCTGGACTCACTCCAGGGCCAGTACATCCTTCCTGAGGTATAGGGTCCAAAATTCATCACAATATTCTAAATGTGGCCTGACCAGAGCCTTATAAAGCCTCAGAAGTACATTGCTGGTTTTATATTCTAGCCCTCTCACAATAAGTGCCAACATTGTATTTGCCTTCCTAACTACCAACTTAACCTGCAAGACAACCTTAAGAGAATCATAGATTAAGACTCCTTAGTCCCTTTGCACTTCAGACTTCTGAATCTTCTCCCCATTTAGAAAATAGTCTATGCCTCTATTCTTCCTGCCAAAGTACATGATCTCACACTCTCCCACATTGTACTCCATCTGCCACTTCTTTGCCCACTCTCCTAACCTGTCTAAATCCTTCTGAAGCCTCCCCACCTCCTCTATACTACCTGTCCCTCCACCTATCTTTGTGTCATCTGCAAACTTAGCCAGAATGCCTTCAGTTCCTTCATCTAGATCATTTATTTACAAAGTGAAAAGTTGTGGCCCCAATACTGACGCTATTCCACTGTACCACCACTTGCCTTCTGTTCCTAGACACTATGCTGAAGTTGCAATACTCATTATGGCACAACTGTTTTCAAACTGCAACAGAAGTAGTGCCTTCTGCAGACCTTAAGGAGCTCGATTAGTTGCGGTGTGTGCCAATAGCCCACTCTCAAAGGATGCCCATCACCATAGCCTACTGCTCATTCCTTGCCTACTTTATATTAACAGCTCAGCTTTTCTACTCTGCGTACTTTCAAGCTCACTATTTGACAGAGCTGCCACTTAAGGTGCGTTGTTCAAATGAAGCTCAGTTTGAACAATATCAGACCCACAGCCTGTGATTTTGCATCCATTTAAATTAATGGAGCGAAAGCCGGGGCCTGCAAGTCCCACTAGTCCCCACCTCAATGAGAACACTCCAGAGAACATCCTTTCTTTATTTCAAGGAATTAAACATTAAAGTTAAAGGCTGAAACAAGAAAATTATCAAATTGTCAATGACGCAATTGTCAACAGCCCAACCAGAAAACATTAATTTGAGATTTTCAAAAAGCTTTTCCACTAACAGCCTGAAATAACCGAGTTTCTCGGGGGTTAAAGACCTGGCCATCCAATAGGTTCAAATGCTCACACTTACACCTTGCCTCTATGATTATCGAAGTCTTCTAACTTCTTGGAAAGGTTCAAAAGAAAGGGCACAAGAAGTGTTTCAGCTAAATTGGATCAGCATAAAAAACACTACTATCCTATCCAATGTCAATCAATGGTAGACAAACAGGAGTCTGGAAAAACAGCATCTGAAGGAAAGGAGCAGTCAATGTTTTGTGTATTACCGTTCTTCAGGGCTGGATGTGGGGGTAGGCGGAAGAGGGAGGCGGAATGGTGGTGATAGGTGGACACCGGTAGTAGGTACGATCTGGTTGGTCAATGGGAGGGAGGAATCTGGTCGGTAGCTGGAAGGGAGGGTCAGTAGGTGGAATGGAAGAGAGGAGGTGGGGCTGGAAAGGAAAGCCGGGGAATGTGTGGGAAGGTTATTTGAAATTACAGAACTGAATGTTGAGTCCTCTGGGCTGTAGGGTGCCCAGACAGAAGATAAGGAGATGTTCCTCAAATTTGCATTCTGAATCACTGCGACACTGGAAGAGGCCGAGGATTGATTTTTTTTTGGGGGGTGGGGGAGGGTTGACATGGTGACAAGGCAGTTTAGGCTGTCTGTTACGGGCCAGGTGAGAATACTTGGCGAAACAGTCACCTCGTCTATGTTTGGTCTCACCAATGCAGAGAAAACCATATCGGGGGCACCAGAATCCAGTAGACTAGGGTGGAGATGCAGGTGAAGCTCTGTCTTACCTGGAAGGGCTGTTTAGGTTTTGTCTCCAACATCAATCAATGCCTGTTCTGGAGATGGTAACCCACCAAGCAACAAAAGCTTTCTGGAATGTTGTAACTCCTGAAACTATTCTCAGAAGTAAAACAGACAACCTTTGTCTATAACATGAGCTACAGTAACTGGAATAAACCCACAGGAACTATAAAGTCCTAAGCATATTAATGCAGCCACAGTAAAGGTACACACTGAAGGGGGCTTGAGCAGAGAAAGACAAGTGCATGCAAGACAGAACACAAAAGGGCAAGTCAGGGGTGATGTCGGCTAGAAAGCAAGGAGTCAGCAACGGAAACGAAGAAGCAAGAAAAAAGATGGACTGGGGTAAAAACATAGCTATTTAAGAATACAGTTGCACCTCATTAAAATGTTGTATCTTAGTTTGGGCAGTGAATTTCAATGGAAGTTTCTTTTACATACAAGCCTTGTTCTAGGTGGCTGTCACCTTAAGTATATCAGCCTTGATGTATGGCAACTGCACTCTATCGTATTAGCCCGTTGCCTGCCTGTTGAATCCTATTATATTTCAAATATAGGAAAGATTTAATCTGAAAATCAAGAATGAGAACAGATTAGATCTTCTATCATTTGATGTCACTCGCATCCTCGAGTGAAAACTACATCCACAAAACCAAGTCAAAGATACCTAGATCCACAATACTGTTAAACTACTGAACCTTAATGCTTAACTATGAATCAAACACTGAGTAGTGCGACACAAATTCATTCAAAGAATGGGCAGGAGACACCGAACAGTTCTGTACATGCCATTTTTGGAGAGGCATTTTCAGAGTGTTTTTTTCCTTTGGTACACTAATTAGCAAATATTACAGAGGCAGTTCAAACAAGCGATATTCATATTTCAGTGCTTTTGCTAATACTTGAAATCAGACAGTTGTTTTAGTTTACCTAGTATTGGGAATGGCTTCCCAGCTGACAGGCGAGATCAACTGGATGGAAAACTTCTCCAACATTGGGTAGATATACCTGTCATCTGCCAAAAGAACAAGGTATCACCGTCAAAGGATAAAGGCTTCAAGGGATAAACCTTCTACTAATAACAATGGGAAGCTGTTGCTCCCCTACCCATTAGCTCCAACTGAAGGATGGAGCCTCAGCCAATTCATCTAAACATATAATCTGACAGCTTTTCAGCACAACTCATGTCCATTTTTGCTACACTGCTGAAAGGTCTACTTGTGGTGAATCATCAGTTCATTTGACTGGACCATAACAACTGGGTTGTGATGCAGGGTGGCACAAACAGTGCAGGTTCAATTCTCATTGACCGAAGGCCCACCTTCTCAACCTTGCCCCTCACCTGAGGCATAGCAGCTGTCAAATTAAACTCACCACCACTCCTCTCTCTCTCTCTCTCTCTCTCTCTAATGAGCAGCACTATGCTCCTCTGGGGCTATGGCAACTTTTGCTTTATTTCAAAATGTCTACTTTATCAGCCTATTCTCTTAGCCATGCCACATTGTTATTCTGCACCTTCCCACCTCACCCCAAACATTCATTCAGTTCCATTTTAAAAGACCATTATGAATCTGTTACCGCCTGTATGTCCAGGCCAGACAATCCTTTGCATGACAAAAAATAGACTTAACATCTGCCTTTACTCTGTCGATAACTATCAATTCATGACAATGAGATCATTAGACCATTCCCATCTCTTCATGCCAATAAAAAACAATCAACTGAATCAATAAAGTAATGATCCAGCTGTGTTTTGCCCATGATGGCCAGTCAGGATTCACAACAAATTCAGCAAACATTTCTGCAGTTGCACAATGAAGTGACCTTAAAGGCTCAGGGGGAATTTGAGGAAAAAGTTTCACCGAGAGGGAGGTGGAAACCTGCAATGCACTGCCTGGGAGGGTAGTTGAGGTGGGAAACCTGGAAAGTAGGACTGATGTAGGTTTAGAGTAGTTTTGGTTAGTGCGGACACAATGGGTCGAATGGCCTCTTCTGTGCTGCATGATTTTATGATCCTTAAAATTGGCCACTATTCCTAATTGCTAAACTAACTGTTGTCACATAGCAGACAGAGTTATAGCCATAATTTGAATCCTGGCTCAATATGACGAGTGCAGGAAAAGCTGCAATAGATGTTTCTATCTTAGCAAGGAGAACACTACAATATTTCAACAGCACAACTATTGTAGAACCATTTTCCAGTAGCAGGCCAGGAGTGAGCAGATTAACTGGCAACAGCTAGCACCAAACATCATTCTTCCTCCAGGAAACAGATTCCCTGCACCGCTAAACTGAAGGAACTGGGCTTACTCACCACGATCAACACTCTCAAACTCTTTGTCTTCCCCTGTCATTTTTGGAATCCTATTACAAATCTCCGTCACACTTGTTGTCACTGCATACACCTGAAGAAAACACATTTTCACAGTATTCACAAAGAAAACATGAACTATTTGAAGAAATTAAATGTCACAGTCAAGCCCCTGAACTGCACGGAGAGGGGCAAACCACTAGACATGGCATACGTGGATTTCCAAAATGTATTTGATAAAAGGGGCCGCAAGGAATACTGCACGATATGATCTCATGGTATAGGGGGCAACATATTCGCTAACCAATCCTTTATCCATGCTAGCAGGAAGAAAAGTGTAGGGATAAAAAGGCAATTTTTACTTTGGCAAGCTGTAACAGCACAGCTCCACAGGGATCAGTGCTGTGACTTAAACCATTTACAATCTATACCAAAGACCTGGATGAAGGAACCGAACATATTGTAGTTAAATATGATGGCAAACCAGGGCAGGACTTATACACTTAATGGTAAGGTCCTGGGGAGTGTTGCTGAACAAAGAGATCTTGGAGTGCAGATTCATAGTTCCTTGAAAGTGCAGTCCCATGTAGACAGGATAGGGAAGAAGGCATTTGGTACACTTGCCTTCATTGATCAGTGCTCCGAGTACAGGGGTTGGGAGGTCATGTTGCGGCTCCACAGGACATTGGTTAGGCCACTTTTGGAATGCTGTGTGCAATTGTGGTCTCCCTGCTTTGGGAAGGATGTTGTGAAATTTGAAAGGGTTCAGAAAAGATTTACAAGGATGTTGTTAGGGTTGGAATGTTTGAGCTATAGCGAGGCTGAATAGTTTTGGGCTATTTCCCCTTGAGTGTTGGAGGCTGAGGGGTGACCTTATATAGGTTTATAAAATCATAAGGAGCATGGATAGGGTAAATAGACAAGGTCTTTTCCCAGGGTAGGGAAGTCCAAAACTAGAGGGCATAGGTTTAAGGTGAGAGCGTAAAGATTTGAAAGGAACCTAAGGGGCAACGTTTCCATGCAGAGGGTAGTGCATCTATGGAATGACTGGCCAGAATTAGTGGTGGAAGCTGGTACAATTACAACATTTAAAAGGCATCTGGATGGATATATGAATAGGAAGGGTTCAGAGGGATACTGGCCAAATGCTGGCAACTGGAACTAGATTTATTTAGGATATCTGATGATCATGGACAAGTTGGACCAAAGGGTCTGTTTCCATGCTGTACATCTCTATGACTCTATGACAAAAACAGGATAGAAATTAAGTTATGAAGAGGACATAAGGAGTTTGCAAAGGGATATAAATAGGTAGTAAGTTTGGCAAACAAAGTATAACATAGGAAAATGTGAACATATTCACTTTAGCAGGAAAACAAAAATGCAGTACATTTTAAAAATCAGGAGTGATTGCCAAACTCTGAGGTATAGAAGGATCAAGGTATACTGCCACAATCATAATATGGTTAGCAAGCAGATAAAGCAAACGGTTCCGAAGGCAATCAATATCATTTATTTCAGGGGAATGGAATATAAAAGCAATGTTTTGCTGCTAGTTGTGCAGAACACTGATGAGGTTACATCTGGAGCACTGTCTACAGTTTTACTGTCTTTAA